AGTCATAAATAACTTACTATTTTCTTCATTTTCCTCCACATAGCTTGCTTGTTTTTCTCTTTTTCAGTAATCTGCCTTCATGTGACCAAACTTTTTACAATAGTGATATTGAATTCCACTATTATAATTTTTTTTATCATAATTTGATTATCTTTGTTTATCATGCCCATCAAAGTGTCCTCTTCCTCTTCCATTTCCTCTACCACGAAATCCTCCTCTGTTACGTCCTCTTCCTATTGATTTTTTATCTTCTTTTGAAGTAAAAGACTCCCCTTAACCTGAAATTCTTTCTCTTCACTTTTTTTAAGTAAACTTCTCAAAACTTTTACAACAATTATATGATCAGAAAGATGTTCACCATAAGATTTCATTTGACTAACAATTTTAGTCACTCGAGAAAGAAAATCTTATAACGATTCATTGCTTTTTATGAATAAAATTTTAAACTCACAACGGAGGGTTTGAAGTTTTACCGTAATCACCCTTGATGAGCTTTGAAATTCATCTTGAAGTATCAACCAAGCTTGCTTTGAGGTTGTCGCTGCTGTAATCTCGAGAAGATTATCTCATATACAGCTTATTGAATGAAGAACAATGCCTTTGAGTCCTTCTTTTTATTTTCCCTCAGCTTAATTTCATCATATGGATCCGCATATCCATTTTCTATTAAGTCCTAAACTTGAATAAAGTCTTCATCTTGCTACTCCAAAATTCATAGCATTTGCCCGAGAAGATAGGAATAAGAGGTTGAGACATGGAATTGCTATTGAAATCCATAATGCTCAGTTCATATTGAAACTAGGCTCTGATACCACAAATGTTGGAGATAGAGGAGTAAGAAAAAAACAGAATACTATGATACGAGTAAAAAGAATCATTTTGATTCAAGAAAACTAATGTAATATTTAAAACAAGAAGATTGACATAGAATACTTATAAGATATTCTCAAGTGTATTCTCCCTACTATCTTGTTTCATGAACTACAGTCCTATTTAGATAATCTAGTGGTAACTACCTATATCACCATGTCACCCATGATTGAGATAGTTATTAAAACTATCCTATAACATCTAGATTATGGTAATTACCTAGATAACTACTAGATCATGATAACTACCTAGATAACTATTAGATCATGGTAACTACCTAGATAACTACTATGAATCAATTCTTAACAAATTATACATGATATGTGATGATATTTATCATTGTTCTATAGATAGGAGTTGGTTCATGAAACAAAGATGGGTATATTTTATAAATATTCTTAGTTTTTTTTATTTAAAATTATTTTAGTTATATTGTTTAAAAGTATTCATATTCAATTACATCATCATAATAATATGCCTTTATCAATTTCTTATTCCTTCATCCTATGTCTTTATCATTTTATTATTCCTTCATCCTTAATAAAAAATTATAGCTTTGAATGATAACTTCATAACTCAACCCATTATACCCGTATTATCATAAATGTTATAAATTTTAAAGTATAAAGATGAAAATTTTATTCAAAGTTTTAGGATTTTTGAAACTTAATAGAGAACGAACATATAAATCCAAATAAAGAAATAAAACCGAAAGAGAATAGAAAAAAGGATTGAAAGGTATTATTTTTTACGATAATCTTATCAATAATTGTAATAACTACTTTATTGATACTTCATAATAAATTTCAAACTCATCAAAGATGATTATCGTGAAACTCGAAACCCTTCATCGTAAGTTTAAACTTTTGTTAATGAAAAGCAATAAATCCATATAAAATTTTCTCTCGAGTGACTAAAATATTAGTAAAATAAAAATTTTTAGTAAATATTTTCATGATCATATTATTGTTTAAAAAGTTTTGAGAAGCTTAACTTCGAAACTTAATCATATTATTGTTATAATTGAGGAGCCAAATATTATTTTTTGATGAACTAATGGATTTCTTGTAAGCATATGAAGAAAGGTTGAATAGGTCACTTGAGAAAAGTAAAAAAAATTATTTCAAAAAGAGAACTAGGAGGATTTCATGATTGACGAAATTGAAGAGAAAGAGAAAGATAACATTTTGATAGGTATGATAATAAAAGCAATTAAATTATGATCAAAAAAACTATAAGAGTGAAATGCAATGTTACTATTATAAAAAATTTAATCACATGACGATAGATTATTAAAAGAGAGAAAAACAAATAAGTTATGTGAAGTAAAATGAAGAAAGTAATAAGTTTTTTATGACTCATTCATAAGTTAATGATATCTCAAATAATATTTAGTTTTTGGACAGTGAATATTCTAATCATATAATCATATTTAGTTTCAGGTATAAAATCAATGTTTAGAAATCTTAATGAAACTCACATCTAAATGAAGACAGATTAAGGAAAGATAAAATCCCATAATAATATTTTCTTTATTCTTAGTTTATCACATAACTTATTGAGTGTTGGACAATTGATGAATGATAGATATTTAGTTATATTTGATGATGATATATGCATTATTAAAAATAAAAAATATTTAATTATAGTAAATGTTTACACTACTCTAAACAAGATATTTCTACTGTTTCAAATTTTGAAAAATATGCTTTTATTACAACTAAAAAAGAATGAACAATTTAACATTAAAGGAATAATTTTTACATGATAATTTTTAGATTATCAATAATTAATGCTTTGGTTAATTTTATAGAACTACAATCTAAAAATTTAATAATTTTAAAAAATTTAATAATTTTTAAAAATTTAAGACACTTATGAAAATGCAAAATTGTAGATGCATAAAGACACTTTGTAAATTGTAGATGCAAAATTTTCAATTTATCTAATAAATTTAATTTTTTTAATGAAAAAAATAATATTTATAACTAATTGATAACACTATATATATTGAAGCAAAATGATGTAGTTGAACACAAGAATCAATCATTGAAATGAGAACAAGTTTACTTAAGGGAAATCATCTTTCAAATCAATTTTAGACTGTAATAATAATTTATTTATTGAATATTTCACCAATAAAGATGGTTATAAATTAAAGTCTTTTTGAAGGTTGGTATGATATGAATTCAAATGTAAGTCATTTAAGAATTTTTTATTATATTATATATACTTTAATAAATTCATAAAATCATCATAAGTTTGATAAAAAATCTAAAAAATATATTGTAATTAGTTATTTCTTCCAATCTAAAGCATATCAATTGAATAATCTTGTTAGAAAAGGTAAGTTGGAATTGAAAGAATAATAAAAATAAAAAATAAAATCATATTCTAATAAAATTAGACACTCCACATAATTAAGTGATAGATCATACTCCAATATATTCATTGTCAGTCGCACCTAGTAGTAGTTCAGACTCATTAGGCAATTTATCAAATGAAACCCCTTTAAAAAAATTCAAATCACTAATAAAAAATTATTATTAAATATTTATTTTATTTATATCAAATCCTATTAGCCTTAAGAAAGCAATTGAAAAAAAAATTGGTAAAAAACAATGAAAGAGAAAATCAAATCAATTGAGAAGAATGAAATTTGAGAGCTAACGGTTCTACCGAAAGAAAAAAAAAGTTATTGAATTGAAATAGGTATTTAAAACAAAATATAATGTATATCGAAGTATCCAAAAGTATAGCTCGATTTAAAGCAAAAGCATATTTACACTGACAAGGTATTACTTTTGATGATACTTTTTCTTCGATTGCTAAATTTGAAATCATGAGAATTTTTTGGCTTTAACTATTCATTTGAGTTGGCCGGATTATCAATTTGATATAAAATCTATATTTTTTAAAAATTTATAAGAAGAGATTTTTGTTTCTCCACTTAAAAGTTTTTTAGTTAAAGGACATGAAGAAAAGGCGTATAAGAAAAAAAAATTTATAGGCTTAAACATGCTCGCTCCAAGGATATAGTACAGTAAAATTTAATTTTTATTTAGAAACATATTTATTTAGAAATTTTATTTATTTATTTCAAAAGTATATTTTAAAAGTAAATTTTAAAAGCATATTTATTTGATATCTCAAATTGATCTAGGTAATTATGAATCAAGCGGAGTGTTGAGAATTGATTCATACTTACGTGATTAACATATTTTAGATAATTTTAATTATATTCTATATATTTCTACGCAAGTAACCCATGATTAAAAAAATTATTATTATAGAAGTAATTCCTATACTTAATTATAAGTGACATGAGATATGATCTAATTATTATTAGATTCTATAAACAGGATCATGGTTCATGAATTAGTTTTGCCTTATATTTAATACTACTTTATCTTATTCTCTTTTAATTATAATATTTTTTTCTTCGTTTCTAATATTTATATCTTTGAGTGTTGTGGAGGACGAGGAGAGTAGAATTCCTTTTCGTCGTGACAATCGGACGAGAAAGAGGAGTGCCGATGAGCGCTTTACTACGATCTAGACCTTCTAATCCTACGGCTATAAAGACATGATGCTCGTCATTAAGCTTGAAGTTGACCATCGGATCTGTCTGGCGCAATATCGATGATAATATACTCATAATATATTATGGTGGTAATATTAATGGTGATGACAATCTTGTAAGCACGTCATTTATTGTATATAAACATGCAAAGTAGATTTTCAATTTAAAATTCTTATGCGGCCTATTTTTGAAATCAAGAGTAGATTATATACGTGCCTTGCCAACCCTTCCCGCCGACGGTTGATCATTCCCATCTTTTATGTGATCATAATAAATGACAAAAGTAGCTAAATATAGTTCCATGTGAATTCTTTCAAGATATATGGATTCCAGATTAGCTCTGCTTCTCGTAACATTGCTTCGATTTCAACTCAAATTTCGAGATTAGAGTACTGTCATGAAAGTAAAACCCATATCATTGAAGAGAACATGATCCATTCATTATGAAGTCAATAGCAACTCAACAAGAACTGGCGTAGCCGTCTGTGAAGCATACGCTATACAGAAAAAACATTTTTCGAAATTTCGGTAACAGGAAAAGCAACAACCACGAGCAAACAAGTTGTGTCCAATTTTATTTTATTTTATTTTTGTCCATCTAGAAAATGAATGGAGCCGATCGAATCTTTCCTTCGCGTGCTTGGGCAATTTTAGTAGGCATATTTAGATACCGGAGTCTAAAAGATAGTAGTTAGCCCCGATTCAAGAAAGAATTTAGCGTGGAGAGTCGAGAGAAAACTGCAAAATAAGCAACTCTCCGTTCTACAAAAGAGGTTAAAGAGTTTTGTAAACGAGGCTAAAAAGCCATAGTGCATGATGCACACTGCTGCCCTTGTACGTGGCATACGGGAAGAAGTATTTTACGACTAGGAATCCATCAACAACATGAAAACTGTGTTGGATCATCCCTTTGCTTTGTCCCTATCAAAACTAACAAATACGGCAGGGAAAAATAAACATCGAATAGGTCAAAGTGGAGCCACTTTGACCCAACAAGGAATATTGAACGGTTTATATAAAATCAAATGTGATATAAACAATTCTTGTTTATATAATAAACACAAGAAAATTGAACGGTAAGTCTTCCTTCCGCATGGGCTAACCATTCTTAGGTCGCAATGCCTTGTGATCGGCATTTGTAAGGGGCTTCAAAGCATCGACCAGCAACTTCAATGTGGCAAAAGGGGCTTCACTATCCTAAACTGTATGATTCAACAAATAACCTCCGTCCCGACAGGAAATCACCAACCCGTGGTGCCACATGAATTACCTTGCCGATTGGTTGAATGCACAAACTCTTTCAGCTACATCATCAACTCCGCTTAGAATTTGCTTAGACCTACCTGACTGATAGCCCGAGCACTAGAGATGTAAACTGCAGAATACGATGCTCGGAACAGTAGAAACTTCAGTCAGGGTGACCAAACCACTGACATCTGAAACATCAAACTCACCAGAAGAACCATGCCGTGCCTGCACTTGATAAAGAATGATGACAATTCTATCTGCTCTGTCATCAGTAGTAAGTAGCCCATCACCAGCACCAGCAACATCTTATTCACATTTTTGAGCTCGCGCAACCTCAAAGACTGGGTCATCTTCCAGGTTCATAGAAGATCGGTTGGTGCTCCTTTTGCAATTTACGACAGCAACAATATACCTCTCGGTTCTCAGTGTACAAAGATACATTGCTTGTTCAACCTAAACATTGAAAATAACACAAATTTCAACCCTAAATCCCAATGCAGATGATGAGTGGTGTGTGATAAAAACGAGCATAGATTATTACAAGTTTCATTTATACAATTTGAATGTACGACAGGCACTGTGGTTGTAGATATTTCTCTACATCTATGTACGACATTTATACATTTATACAATCTTCTAGTGAAACTAGATATTTCTCTACATCTATGTAGAATAAAATTTCACCCTTATTTCTTTGGAACTGGTGGTTGGAGGAAGGGCAACATGTTGACAATCAAAGTTGGAGAGGTGCTATTAAAATCTCAGTGAACCAACTATATGAATGTATAATGCTCAAATAAGGAGGCCTTCTTTGGTAATAAGACAATTCACACATTTCCCGTTGTTTTTAATTATGAGGAACAACTGAAAGGTTGAAGCTAGAAATCAAATCCAAGGCTTCATCCAGTCAGCTCATAGAATTTCATTAGGTTATATACAAAACTGTAGATAGCAAATAAAATCCAGAAAAATGACCTTTGTTCTACATTTATTTTAACAATGTAGTTCCTAAATTTGGTCTCTTTATATATGTTCCATATTTATTTTAACAAAGACACAAATATATTTTTTATATATGTTTCAGCCACACAAAGTCAATTTTTGCTGAACTATTATTGGAAACTTACCACAGGTAGATGAAGAAATTCATCTGGGGTTATTTGCAGCAACTCTGTAGCAGTTTGTCCAGTGCACCATGCAAACATCTGATTGCTCTCATCTGCAAGGGTCACCTTCAACTGAAAGCTATCGAGAACTTCACCATCACAATTGGAATTACAAAAACTGCAATGAAATGATCCATCTGACCTCTCTTTCACAGGACGGCCACAAATGACATGAGATTTCACTAAGCAGACATCATGATGTTCAATACTGACAACACAAACTCGGCATATCTGTCAATAAAATACCAATTAGCAGTAGGATCCAATTCAAACACCAGACAGAATAATTTTCATTTATAACTTTGCAAATATGTATATATAATCTGACAATGTAGCTACACATGGAGTAACATCCTTAATTATGTGTGAATATATATAGTACTAGTAGTCTAGTACTACTATATATATGCTGCTACTACTATATATGTACTGCTACCATATATACACTGCAGTCAAGCCACTCATGGCATAGACCAGCTCATCTCTAATGAAAACAAACTTTTCAATTAGCCTCCATAAGACATATTGTTGCATAGATTTTATCAACTACTCTTGTAGACCCCAAAAAAGGAATAATGCGGAGAGAAAACTTGGTCTAAAAGTTGAAAAAGAAATGGTTCTAAGAAAACATTACATGTGTCTTTTTCATCAATTTGGAGATATCAGATAAATGAGATAACTTGTGTAGGCATGATGAATTCAACAATGCTGGCAAGCAGCTTTGGTTGAATAAACAAGTTCCAGTCTCCTTCTCAAACCATGATACTTCAAGCCTGAAAATCAGCAAACAGACCTTAAATCCATATGGTATAAGATACAGTAATTGACTAAAAGCAGACTATTAATAGAAGATGGTGCTTAATTCTAGATATGATGTTCGAGATAAGCATCATCAAGTATCATTTAACCTTGCATAGATACTATTTAAGTTGCATCGTAATAACAGAATGATAAAGACATATACAGGCTGCTCACAACTTTCCAGTTGTCATGGAACAAGTCAACCCTGAGATGAATACTGAGTGGCCAATTCCCAGTCTTCCTAGTGACCTGAAAAACATGATCATGTCTTAATAAAAATCAAGATCATAAAAATTTCATTCTAGGTTCATTAGTTTTAACCATGAGCAGATTTTTCAGACTTCATTTAAGCATTATAAGACAGTAACCTTCAGACTAAAATTTATATGGAAAGCAAACTCTTAGTATGTTCTGATAAACAAGATACCAAAGCAAAAAAAAAAAAAAACAAGCAACTATGTTGTGATAAACAAGAAATTTGCTAGCTATTGAATCTTACCAATATCTAACAAAGTGTAGTTTTGCCACAACAGCTCCTGTTGTATCTTCAATTCTCACATAATAGACAGTGTCTGAGTTGTTTATCTCCTTGTCAATATTTGTAACAACACCATACAGACTGACTCCAGTCATTTTGTCACGGAGGTCAGCCACATGTAGCTGCAAGAGTCCACAATGACTGATAAAAAAATGAAATTTCTAATGCACACAAAAAATGTGGACATCTTAGATATGGCAAGGTTCGTCGTACCACAACGTACTGCCTAGTATGGGCGATACGTACTAGTCCGATAGGAGACCGATATGGGCGGTACATTGCGGTCTATCAGTACGCTCCACCATACCATATATCGATATGTCGGTATATATCGTATCGATGGCCGGTTGGTACATTGATACGAATCGATAAGACAAATCATGAGATATAGTATCTCAGACTGAAAGGTAAAGAAAAATTTTGTTCTCTTAACAGTTTGAGATCCAACAGACTGATGTAATAAACGCAGAAAAGTGATGTTTACATTAATAAGCTGATCATGAGCTAAAAGATCCATGATTAAGTGTTCGTTAAAACCAGTATTTCCTAGCAGAACATTAAATACATTTCAATACTTGATTTAGAGCATTGTTTTTTAGCACTGCTAAAGGTCCATTCATTTCTTAAGTTCTCTGTTAAAATATTTTACTTCTTTTTTTGGAAAAAGGAGTTGGTTATGAGATTAAGGATGTAAAAATACATAATCTTCATCTTGATGTACTACTGCTGCAGTCATCTTCTGTTCATAGAAAGTTTCATCAATAGAATCCATCACAGTAACAACAAAACCATAAGTCCCAACTATTTGAAATCGACTACATGAATCTTTTGACAGCATTGAGATTTGTAAAAAATCATATGTTGAGTTAAGCTTAGAGTACTTAAATCTTTATTTATAATTTCTATTAAGATCTTTTTAGATCTTCATCTATCTCTCATCACTAGAATATACAGAAAAGTAAAAAGACAATACAATTGGCCTGTTAGGTGAATCAAGATAATTGGCCTACTTAAGAAACATACCAGAAAACAATGGAGATAACTTGATTCAGTGAAATATCTAAGTTATGCCAATTATATAACTGTTGCCCACATTTCAGCAGTTTGAAGGGCATGACAGCTAACTAAATATGCCTGGACGATGAAAAAGTAGGTTGATGGCAACATATAGGTTTAACTAAATTTAATACAATATAAGCAACAGGAGATGTATAAACCTCGTGTCATAAAAAAAGATAAGTATTTGCACCTATAAATAGTTAAGGAGCACAATGATCCATCAGCTGTTCTGTAATTAGCCTATTAGTGTATCTAACATAATCTATGACATTGGAAGTTGATGATTGCTAGAAAGTTACACTTAATTTAGAAAACCTGAAATTTCTAAAATTCAAGACAGCCTCACAAGCCCAACTATGCAGGCTGAAAGCTAGCATGGTAGCATGCCAGTGCTGGTGTGTGCCAAGAACATGGCAAGGCTTACATGAGATATAATTGATGTGCACTAGACTGCCTGCGTTGTCCTGGTATAGTATGCATTGAACATAATTGTGTATGCATGATAACTTTGGAGTTACATTGCGACCCTTACACCATGATAGTAATCCACTGAAATTTTACATATCAAGGTGCATGTAAGTTGTTATTGACACCATAATCATGGGTATAAAAACATATATCTTAACTAGTAAGAGGAAAGAAATGGGAGACATACTTGGAATGGATAGTTCTTGAAGTCAACTGATCCTTGTGAATCTAGTGGTAGCATAATTTGTGATATCTTTAGGCCCTGGGTTTGGTCTAAAGTGTTTGAAAATCTTGATCCTGGACTCCTCGTTTGTGTGGAGGAAAGAAGTACCTAGTAGAATATAAACAATAAAGATCAAAATTAAGCAAGAAAGGAAACCCACTGGCAGATTCAATATGTAGAACCTACTTCTTCCTCTTGTTGAGTAAATGGCACCATGTATATCCGTGTGGCACTTCCAAATTCCAAACATAATTCTTGACTGCCCACATTATGATTGTCAACATATGCAATGAAAGGTCTGTCTAAAGCAAGCATACTTCCCAAACTGAAAAATTGAAAAAAAGAAAAACATCAGTAAAATTTAAAGGTGAAGCAAACAATTACTTCCATATTTAGTGAACTATGTACCTAAAGAGATTAGCAAGGAGAATTTGTTCACCCCATAAAACAAACTTTAACTTGGAGCCATCACTATCAACTAAAATGATTGCTTTCCTCTCTACACCCCTAAAAGCTTCCAACAATTCAATTGATTCGATCCTGAATGGAAGAAGAAAGAGAGATGCATAATATAATACTTGATGGCATTAAATGGTGGATTGCCCTTATTATGCTTTTGCAGTATTTATTGAACAAATGAAAATAAAAAAGCTTTCTCTAGTATACGAGCATTATAGCATTCAGAACAAACTCCAATGGCCTTTCAGAAACAATAAGAACCCCATAAAAAAGCACTGAATGTATCTGGTTAACCCAAACTTCAAGTCTCCATCAATGCTGGAAGCACTTGGTACGACTTCAAAACTTCAATGGACACTCCGACTCGGTAGTCTGTAACTATGCTATATCTATTTAAATTCTAATCAGTCTTGTAGTAACACATAATTTTACAAGGTTGTTATCAAATGATCAGAACTGGACTGGACCTCCACCCAAGCCAACCAAGTGGAAATACAGCTGGCCTTATCAGAGGGCTGATCATCCCTATTTACAACTGCAAGATGTAACAGGCCTTAGCTCAAGCTGGATAGGCCTTGCATGGAGCCCAGGAAGCCAATTTGGAGCCTCAAATGGGCATTTGGATTACCATTTAACAAAGAGAGTATCTGAACTACATTGGAAGATTTTGAAGACAGTTTCCAACAGCAACAAGAGCCCATGGATAGATTAAGAAAAGAATAAAATTTCTTTTATTATCAGACATTTCAATAATTAATTTTAGTAATTTTAAGGAGTCAAAAGAGTCCAATTTTTAATCTAACAATTACTCTTGATTCCCAAAACAAACATAACATAAATCAATGATTTAAAAAGCACTAGACGTCAAAAGGCACCAAGGTCCCAAAACGCCTAAGACGTTAGGCGTTCACCCGAGCAAAACGAGGCGTTCTGAAATATTAAAATATAAAAAATATAGTATAATTAAAAATATAATTATTTAAATAAAAATATGATATTAAATTAAAAAATATACTATTAACAATATATTACTTAAGTTAGAGGGGGAGAAAAAATATTCTCTGAAATATTAAAATATAAAAAATATAATATAATTAAAAATATAATTATTTAAATAAAATATGACATTAAATTAAAAATATACTGTTAACAATATATTACTTAAGTTAGAGGAGGAGAAAAAAATATTCTCTGAAATATTAAATTATAAAAAATATATAATTTAACTAAAAATATAATTATTTAAATTAAAAATATACTATTAAATTAAAATATATACTATTAATAGTATATTACTTAAAGTTAGAGAGGGGAGAAAAAAATGTTAACAGTAACAAAGGGAGATAGCAACAACGATGAAGGATTAGTTTAATATAGTTGTGATAGCAGCGGAAGTCGTGGATAATAGTAGCGACGGCGACAGAAGCTGCGAATAGTAGCAATGACAACGGAAAAAGCTGCGAACACCAACAACGGCACCGGCGGAAGCTATGGACAGTAGTAGCGACAGTGGCGAAAGCTATGGACAACAGTAGCGACAACGACGGAAGCTCCAAAGGGCGCCCATCAATGGCGGAGGAACCAACAGTCCTCTCCCTCGAAAGTGGAAGGAAGCGATATCGGAAGGAAGCTACGGGGGCCATCGGACTCATCCATCGACAACAAAGGAAGGCTCGGTCCATTGCGTCTGCGGTGAAGGAAACGACAAAAAGCATCGGTGGCGAAGGCAGAAGCAGCACTAGGGTTCCTCGGGGTCGCGTGAGCATAAAGAGTGGCTTTGGAGGTAAGAAACTACGAACCAAACCAACCTTAAACCAGTTCGGTTCGCCTAATTGAATCGGGCGCTTGCCCGAAGTGCCCAATGCCTATGTTCGGGCGAGTGCCCAGGTGGCGCCTCATTGAAGCGCACCGCCCGGTGCACACACAAGGTGCTCGAGCTTCGCCTCGCCTCGCCTATTTAAATTACTGGTATAAATTAAGAAAATTATTCCGCTATTAAGATTAATAATTTAATAACTTCTCTAATGCTCTTTCCTAGGAAAACCCTTTTCCTTCCTTTAATTACTCAATCAAAAGTTCAATTACTCAATCATCTGATAACAATCAATATTTTACACTACTAGGTTGTCACATGTATACTATCATTTTTTACGATTTTTGTTACATGAGTTACAATGTTCCAGTTATGATGGCAAGCAATTCAGGTTACTTAAAAATCTGAACTTCTGATCGAGAATAGTTAAACCTACTCTAATCCATTACAAGTTCAACAATGCTTATGGAATTGCAAATAGCATGTTTGAACTACATGAGTTCAATATTGCATCCCAAGCTAAAAGGGAGCCAATATAGGATTCAAACTCAAAACTTTAATTACATGAATTGTGACAAAAACCACTAAGTGAGATTCATTTGACTGATGTGCACATTTAGTTTCATCAGCCACTACATTTTTCACATATGACTTGTATATTAGTCTCAAACATAGGCAATTGTTAAAACACCAATTCAACAATTTCATTGAGATATGAGACCTTATAGCTTCTTTTTCATTTAGGCCCCTTTTAAACTTAAAAATGAACAAACTTTTCAAGCATAAACAAGTTATAATCCCTACAGCATACGTCATTTGCTGAGAATATTGTTTTGATTTATTAAAATTTAGTTGGGATTAATTTTAATTTAAGCTATGGAGTTAAATCTTAAAAAATTGAAGAATTTTAAATAACTAGGACTAAGACCGAATATTTAAAATGTAATATTTATGAAAAGAAGTCAGTGTGTATATAAGATGCATGTATAAAAAAATACCTTAAATCAAAGCTCAGCAAATCTTGGATTTATTATCAACGAAAACAAGAGACTAATGAAGAGCAGTTAAAGGAAAGAGGGACATCAGCATCTTGTGTGATTATCGTGTGCCCTTTATAAGACGGTCATAAGGTTACTATGTTTAAGGATCAGAGTGTTGGTAAACTATGAAAAACATATACAAAACGTTGGCATAGCTGAGATGACAACATTGAGATGGATGCGTATGATTACTAGATGAAAAAAAAAATATTTTCATTCACAACCAGTAGAAGTTTAGCCTCGAAGATGTCAGTAAGGGCTTTAACTGTTATAAGCAAGGTCTTGGGACCGAATCCTATCTTCACCATTTACCCTTTGGACGAAAAAAAAAGGGAGAAGTGTAGCCTCAATAGTGGATAAGAAAAAATAATTCAAAATGGTATGCATACCCAAAGATGTATAGCTTTTATTGTTATACAAGTTAGCCTGATTTAAATAGTCGTACGAGAGGAAAGAAAGAAGACTTCATTAGAAACAATATGCTCTTGATTTATGTAGAGGTATTTCCTTATGCAGCTAAGAGGTGTACTTATCGAAGTTTTTTAAAAAATGTTGTATGTGATCAAAGTGATCTTGCCTTGCATATAAAGAATATGTAACAGCATTCTTGACTGCATCAATTGAAATCGATGAGAAAGAGTCTGAACAAAATTGTGCACCCAGCAAAACTGCATCTTCATCTTGGTCCTATGACATTTGGAATAGTCAGCAAAAGTGAAAAGGGAAATCTTTTTTAAAAAAGAATAGACTAATTTTAACACTAAAACTAATCTACTAGTAGCCTACATTTCACATCATATTAAGAGAAAGTATACTTTTTCCCCATAATTTGGACCAATTTTATAAATGCCACAGTAGTAATATAAAAATTTCACTTGACCTCCCAGAGACTTGTATACTACTGGATATGCAACTCCAATTCCCACTTCATTATAAAAAATCAATCATGTAAATGTTTCATGCACAGTAAAACATCAACAAGGAACAATTGATGCGATGGCACTAAGTTCATGTAGAAATGACACTGACATGGAGCACGTAGTGCCTCTATAGCATTGGAGAACATTCAAAATTTCCTATTAATACAACTTACCTTATCTTCAACATCGCATTCACTCATGGGCCATAGACTAATAGGTCACCATGAAGGAGTTTGCATGTCCATGTTATGAAGGAGGTTCATGTCCATGTTATCTGGTTGTAAGCTTTTTATCATCAACCCTTTATATTTTCTTAATGGAACAATACAAGATGCAATAAACATGTGAATTTGTATATATTGAAAACGTTGGCCTATATGAGCAGTCATGTTCTCACAGTCTCTCCTACAAGTGTCATCGTCCTTCTCCTCTAACCTTTTTCATATGTTATGCTGTTGCTTCAGTGGTAAACCAATTCAATAGTTTTCTCCATGACTGCCTTCTGAAAAGGAACCAAATCATTTTTGGCTGGTTTTCTCAAAAATCCATTCAAAAGAGAATGGGAATTCATGTGAGGATGGTGCTTGCACATTTCCAGAGAGAATTTTCTAATCAACGTTTTATTTAAAATATATTTGTCCTATTATCTTTAACACAATCCTAAAAGGCTGTCATCACAGTTTAATATGTAGCTACTAATTAAAATCATTAGTAATTTAATAAAAAATTAAAAAGCACCAAATCATTGATTTTTTAATGTGTAAACAAATAAAGATTACCTCATCTAACAAAACAACCAGGTATTCTGTTGGCAAAAGACGCGGTTGACCAGATCCTTCCATTGCCGTACGAAGACAACATCCGGTCAGGTAGACCTCACGTCCTTTCTTCAGAATCTGGAAGTCCAGCAAATCATAGTATCTGCCACAACAATTGTTGTATGTACAAAGCAACATAATGTTATGAAACAAGATTTTAACCCAACAGAGAGGAGAAAAAAATGACAAAATAAAAATGTATCAAAACCTGTGGTAATAAATTCTAGTTTCAAGCATATTTTGCAATCCTACATGCTGGATCAGCCACGCTAATCCATTCAGGCTACAAATGCATACAAGATCCGGGGACAAAATAAAATTTAACATAACCCATGCCAAACTGTACGTTGGATAAGTAGAAAAAAACAATGTAATTCTAAAAGGTTCATGCTCTAAATATCCGCACCTCACTTAAGAATAGGACCATATTGGCCTCCAACAACCTTTCAAATAAAGCACCATTGGTACGCTTTAGAATGAACAAAGGTTGTACCAATCAGCATTCAAGAAACAATGGTTGTTCTAATAATGTGTCATGATGGTATTGCTAGTCATAAGTGCCCTGCAAGCCAATCACATGAGTAATGACACGTGTGACATGACACGTACTCTTTTTTTTAGTATATTATTTGGTATTTTATCACTTTATATCGCTTATTGCATATATGCATACATATATTGTAATGTTCATGAATCTATGCAATGGGAATTGAATCATGATGAAATCACGATAATAAGATCGAGTCGCCTTTAAACACATATCCTAAATAATTCTGGTCATAGGTTACTCGAGAGGGACATTGAGATAACCGGATGGACTGGTGTACTTTATACCCATCCATATGACGGAGGTAGCTGATCTCATTGTTGCTCGTGTGGGGACATTAGGGCTACAGTGCATGTGCTCATTGAAGAATGAGTTCACTGATGGATCCGCTCATGGAATGTTGGATGGTTAATGGTACCTCATTGTCAGATAGAAATTTCGTTATCCTAGTGGTGTACCTGGTCCTTAGACTTGAGACACCAAGGATGTCCTGGATGAATACTCCATTTTTTTATACTAGACTTATAGGCTTTGAAGTCCCAGATCTAACACAACCGATCATCAGAAGTGGCAGCCAACTTTACAAGGACTGTTGAGTGTCAATAGAGGATCATCCACTTTCGATATCATGAGAGGAATATCTCATACATTCTTACTCAGACAAATCCCTGACCAGGGTCATTCAGATTGAGAGAGAGAATTCTTCGAGGGAATCCGATTAGAGCAAGACTTGAGTAGAAACTATATAGGCCTGACAATACCATGCCCGGTATACGATTTCTACGATATGAGATGGATGAGGGACTATAGATACAGAATAACTAAGGATAAATAGGTCCAAAGGATCAAATTCCCTTGTATCATCTAGGTACTGCAGTGTAGTGGCTTAGTATTATTGAATCTCGGATCTTGATGATGAAATCAATTATAGATTGTTTGATCTAATCTATATGTTGAGAAAAGCATGTAGGATTAACTACGATAACAATAAGACATAAAACAGGTGTTGTGCCGAAGTCAAGATCGAGATCTCGTTGGGAGTTCAAGAGTTCGTCGGAAGTTCTACCGGAACCAACCGAGAGGTCCAAGAACTTGCCAAAGAAGCTCGTCAAAACTCGCCAAGAAGATCGTGGTAAAGTCCAGGAGCTTGCCGAAAGATCGTCGGAAGAGAAATTGATGTACCGGAACAATAATGCTTTGTCAATTATCTTAATTATTGTAGTTTGTTCGTAAATTGAGTTAAAATTAGGAGGTAATCCCACTAACTTAACTAGGGGCCAAATGGGCCCTTAAAGGGCTGAATTGGGTCGGATTAAACAACTCATTCAGCCCCTGAAAACATAGTCGACGATGGGACCGCCAGGGCCGACGATGGCACTGCTTGGGAGATCCAGTCTCTCAGGTGGCCTGGGCGATGGTATCGCTAGCAATCAATGCTGCCAACGGTAGTACCGCCCCTGTCAGGCGATGGTACCGCCAGAGCTCGATCTCCGAGCTCTGTCAGGTGATGGTACCGCCCATTAATGGTGGTGGTACTGCCAGCATCTCGAAATCCAAGGATTTAAATTTTTTGGGTCCAACTTTTGAAGCTATTGGGGCCTATAAATACCCCACCCTTTTCTGCATGAAAAGGTAACAAAGTGCTATTATATGTGTGAAAAATTCTAAGTGTTTGGGGTGTGAAAAGTGTTGTAAAAGTAAGAAGAGTTCTCCTCCTCCCTCTCTTAGCTTTGTAACTATCTAAGAAAAAGGAGTGAGACTTGTAAAGGTTGTCTCCTAAACCCGGCAAAAGGAGAAAGCGTTGTATAAGGTGATTGGTCTTCGCCTATTGAAGGAAGGTCTTTAGTGGATGCTGATGACCTCGACGGAGGAGGAATTCGAAGTTAACGTAGGTCTCATTGACCGAACCACTTTAAATTCTAGTTTGCTTTTCTTTTTGTGTAATTTACTTTACTGCAAATCTCCTTGAGCTTCTCCTTACATTCTTATGAAAGTTTTAAGTTCAACATCTTTCCGAAACGATTTAAATTGAGACGAACTTTATACGAAATCGAAGAATTTTTCGCTGCACTAATTCATTATCATAGTTAATCTTGCACATTTTTCTCAACATATAGATTGGATCAAACAATTTACCAATTGATTTCATTATCAAAATCCGAGATTCAATACGATTCACCTTTAAATACAGATCTTAAATAATCTTGATAATAAGTTATTTGAAAGAAACATCTAGATAATCAAAAAAACTAATGTGCTATATACCCGTCCATATGATGAAGGTAGCTGGTCTCATAGCTACTTGTGTGGGGACACTAGGGCTACAATGCGGATGCTCATTGGAAAATGAGTTCACTAATTGATCCGCTCATATAATACTAAATGATTAATGATATCTCATTGTCAAACAACAATTTCGTTGTCCCAATGGTGAACCTGATCCTTAAACTTGAGACATCAAGGATGTCTTGTATGAGTATTACATTCTTTTATACCGGACTTATAGGCCTAGAAGTTCCAGATTTAATATAACCGGTCATCGAGAATAGTAGCCAACCTTACGATGGCTATTGTCGATAAATGATCATTCGCTCTTAGTATCATAAGAAAAATATCTCATGTGTTCTTGCTTAGACAAATCCCTCACTAGGGTCATTCGAATTGTGAGAGAAAGAGTTCTCCGTGAGAATCCGATTAGAGCGAGACTTATGGAGAAACCATATAAGTATAACAACACCATGCCCAATATATAATTTCTGGGATATTAGATGGATGAGAAACTATAGGTACACGGTAACTGAGGACAAATAGGTCCAAAGGATTGAATTCCCCTTATCGTCTAAGCATTGCGACATAGTAGCCTAGTACGTCCGCAATTGATGAGTCGAGTAAATTATTATAAAGATAATAATTCATTAAATCAGAAGGAATTTTGATAGATAAAACTCACGGTCAGTTTGATATTAGGCATAGAGGGTCATATACATATGGTAGACGTTGCGACAAGTAGAGGTTCGAATATGAGATATCCGTCAAAGCTCCTATATTATTGAATATCTAATAAGCCCCTAAATTATTAAATCCTATAGATGAAATCTAATAAGAGCTAATAAGAAATTATTAGATAAAGATCCACTAATATAAGAGACTTGGATAGTTGAATGAAAATCCAATACTAAATAGAACATAATCCATTAGGACTAAGTTAACAAGGAGCCCCTATAAATAAGAGAAAACCAAATATCTAAAAGCTAGAGGTTTCTTAGTTGTCGCCTCTTATTCTCCTCTCCCTTTCTTCTCCTCAGATAATAGGTGTGAAGATTTGAGCAACGATTCAAGGAATATCATCATAGCTCTGCTATATAGATTAAAAACGGATGCTTGACCTCCTTCAACCTCCCTTACAGATCTGTAGGGATTCAAGGATACACGATCTCCTTAAATAATACAACTATCTCACGCGTGATTTTCAGTTTCACGAATTTTATGCATCAATCTTAATACGATGACGAACATATTTTTAGAAAATTTGGAGATTTTTGTTTTCTATTCTTTCACTGTGCATGTAATGTCGCCCCCTAGATTTCCCTATAGGTACTTCCATTATTCGCATGAATCAAATCTATATGTGTAAGTGTAAGTTACATGGGTACAATCCTTCAATCTTTTGTTTTGATTTTTGCCACTTATATGAAAACATTACCATACATACAAACAGGATAAAATCAGGAAGAAGCACTGACCACTCAGTCTCAGTACTCTCCCATCTTTCATTAAATTGTTCATCTGCTTACAACACTTCAGAACATAACCACACTCATACAATTTTACATACTTGTCTAACATGCTATAGTGTTATATGTGGATAATTTTTTCTATTTGGACTTAGTCCTTAGTAACCTTAAAATTCAATATACTAAGGTGCCATGGAACTCATTGAGAGGCCTCATATCACATAATCCTGCCTGAGCTGGAAATAATTTTCATGCATTGGATGATCAAAATTGTGCTTCATATCCAGTGAAGTATTAAGTAAGCAGTTTCATGCTGCAAAAGATATTTACCTGCGATGCAGATATAGATCAATGGTGCATGAGCTCCATGGATTTCCCAAGCTAAGCAAGTATATATTTGTACCTGAGAAAAAGGTACGCCTATAAAATCACAAGAGTAACAGCAACATCAATGGTTAAGGTCTGCATCATATCAAAGACAAGGATCATTTGATTACATCACAGAACTGTTTTGTTAGTGTAGTGGGTATGCTGATAACCAAGTTAACAAGGCCAAAGTTCAAACCAATCCAAAGTATACTATGGTGTAGAACCATAAAAATTGAAGCCAGAAGCAACTTTGTTTTTTAACAAAAAGGTCTGCAACATTTCATCAAGCAATAGGGTCATAAATAGAATAGCATGTAAGCAGTAACGTAGGCAGCAGTTAGACAATGGCGTAAAATGTGCTTTAATAGTTGGTGCAAAAAGATGGTGCAAAGTGCAAACATTAAGCTGGGTGTGCAAAAACGAAAAAGATGATGCAAAATATTAGGATCCAGAAACCTGAATGTCTAGCATGCTTAAGTAGAGAAGTAATACTTATGTTTAACATGCATACCTACAAAAACCTACAAATAAGAAGAAAAATTCAGTAAGCCCTGAACTGACTTGAAGGAAGAGAATTAGCCAAGACCAAAGTGAAACGAAACATGGAAAATAATTTATTAAATGCAAGGGCAGAGAGAGATCAGAATAATGTCACTCAAAAAAAGACTCCTGATATATCTCCACACCTGGAAGAAGGAAGGCATCGATAACAACGGCTTCAATAACACTGCTTGGAGATAAGAAATTCTTCTCATAAATAGAATCAATGGTGACAGTATGTGGCAGCCTCGTTCTTCTATGCCTCTTTTCCGATGGCGTTTTCCATCCTAACCTCTTCTTTGAAGCCAAGTATCTATGCTGCTCGCTCCACGCCTATCAAGCAGATACCCAATTCCAAATCAAAACCCTGTTATTCCCCTTAATTTTCAATCAATAACTTCAACGAATTATCTAAAAAGAGAGACAATAAACAGTAAATTCGCTAAATAAACCGAAACAGGCAAAAATCGAGAAAGGGGCAGGGTTTGATCCAGGGAAGAAAAGGAGACCACCTGGAAGAGATCGGAGAGGAGGATGGCGGGGGTGACGCCGCTGGAGTACGCCATGCAGGACTTGAGGATTTTTGAGACGACCCAGCTCCATGGAGGGACAGGAGGGTCTCCCCCGCCGCCGGCGTCCGGATCCTCCTCGGCGTCGGACGAGATCATCGACCTCGCGTACTCCACGAACCCTAGGAAAGCGTCTTCATGGCCCTCGGTCGAGGTGGTACTGTCCGTGATCGACAGGAACGGAGAGGCCATAGTCGAGGCGACGGTTAGATGGCTAGTGCTCTCCCACGCGGGAACCCTAGCTTTTTGGCAGGGAGAGTTCATGGAGGTGGGCTTTTATAGCGAGGACCAGACCCAAGAGCAAGTGTTTCGGCGGGAAAATTCGATATTCGATGGCCTTAATCAACCTTCAAACCAGATTCACCATCACCGACGATCCCCGATCATATCAACCGTCGGAAGGTAACTAACGATCATGATCCATCCGTTGATGGTCATCAGGATTACTTTTGATTTTTTTCGACGGTCATGATTATTCTGCGCACTCCATATATGAATATACAAATTCTAATAATAATACTCGCTTTAGAGGAAGGCTTGACATTAAAACCTGTGGTTTACAACATGAAAATATTGATCCAAGCTCTAATACAATAATATGTAAACAACTACGTAGGCTTTATTCATGTGTCATCCAGACAACCACGTGGACAGCTTATCGGATATGGTTATACCTACTTGCACATCAACATCTTGATGGGTTTATATGGTACGTGATGCGCGCATGTGACATCCATGTCATGTATAAATCATAAGTGGCATATTAGACTCAGCAATTGGTTACAAAGGGAGTAGTAAGGAATACACGGTCCTTCACACTCTGAGAAAGTACGCAAAGCTACGCTGCGGAGCCCACCCATAATTAATTAATGGTTCCTACCCACTTTTGCCAGCCATATGCCTACTTTGCCTGGGTATTGGAGAATGGTAGATAGAGGCTACGCCACAAAAGGGTAGAAAAGTGGCTCGGCGAATTCACTGCTGCTTCTGTCACAGTCTCCTCACACACCCACTTCGCCCTCCGCCATCGACACCGGCACGGCCCTCTTTAACAAGTGCGAAGAACGACGACGATAGCAATAACTGCTGTTGTTTTGGCGAATGCTGGAACGCGTGCCCTAGGACCTTCCGCTCCTCCTCCGTGGAAGAAGGTTAGAACTTCGTTCTCTTCCCAACCTCATCCCTCGTTTGACAGAGAGAGGGAGAGGGAGAGGAAATTGTTCCAAGTCAACAGGGTTGTTTTTTTCTTTGATCTGATTCGCTGCTTTTCCTTTTCGCTCGGGATGGGAACCGCTGCAAGATGACGAAAAGAATATCATTTAGGGGGAGTGACATGGGTTTACTTGGGGGGGTTACGATGGGATCCAGCGCTAGGTCTCGGATGGTCTTTGTTTCCTCTTTCGTTTTTGCATCGTTTCTGGTTTTTGAATCGATGCGATGGCATCGGAATCTGCTATTGTCTCCGTTAATTAACCAAAGTGCGAAAATGTTTGGCCAAATCACAGACAAATTTGGTTAATAATTGTCTCCCTTCATCGATCATTGTAAGACCTTCATCTATGACCACATGTTCCTGAAAGAGAAATATATAAACTATTGGTCACTTATGTCATATTATAGGACCTGACCCCAACAATCCAGGTCTTTTAGCTTTAATTTTGAGAAGGGACACCAACCTCACAATAAAGAACATAGAGCCGCAGGGTCATTTTTAAGTAGGGTACAAGGCCCATTAAGACTTTAGATATTAGCAGGTGCAAATGCACGTCATCAGTTTCTTATATAGGAAAAAAAGTCATCTCAAACATTGTTCAAGATGTGTTGATTTGTTTTAATTCTAGAGGTGTAAGCCTTCGGTCCACAGAAGTGTCATAATCCATAATGGTCCGAAGATACCTGTGCAAGATGGGATCAATTGTTAGATCTCTCAGTAGGGAAGGAATGTGCTCTACCATCAAAGATGAGGTTCGGTGAAAGCTGCTCTGAATATAAGAACATAAATTTTGAGACAGATATTATTTCTGTGTTACTTGACTTCTTTTGTACTAACCATTTGTTATGTTTGACTTGAAGCAGAAAGTTGTGACCGAGTAGAAAATTTTACGGAAACTAAACAATGATAATGCAATAATATGTTGTGCAAGATATCTCATAACTAGGCAAAGAATACATATAAGCAAGTGTATGCATTACACTATTAGGTAAATGCACTGTGTGTTTTATCAGGTTTGTATTTGATTTTTGATATAGAAGCAAGTTAAATGCATTTTACTTTATGTGATTCAAGTTTAATGTTGTTATAACTAAATCTCCTTGATTATGAAATACTTGGAATTCAATGAAGTATTTGGATTGATATATCACTATATGTATTTTCGTTTTGCTAATATATCTCATATTTTGCCTCCCATCCATTTGTGTGGTTTTCTTATTGATTTGTTGGTTTTTCGTCTATTACAAGCAATGAAAGTGCAAGCCACTTAGAGAACGTAAGCTGGTGGGTCTACCTTTAAGAATTAGGATAGGAAAGCTAAAATTATTATGTGCAAATATCTTTTTCTTCGTAGGCAAAAAACAAGCACCCTATGGTGTTTTTCTAACAATTTTGTGCATTTTGATATAGTTATGCAGTCATTGGGCATATGTATTTTAGCAATTTAAAATGTATGATCTTCTTTGTCGCACGTGTAGTGAGGCATAATTGGTCTTCTTCACAACACAGAATAATGAACAGTAATATATGCCTCTACATATAGTTAAGATCCATTTACAAGAATATTTTTAAGTGCATGCACATAAGTAATCAGACCTTTATGTTGTATCATCAACATCTGTGTCTTTTAATACCCAATTTTGTCTATATTGTTAAATATTGAAGTTTATTGATCCATAAACTGACCTTGTTCCATTAGTATCGGTACATGTAAAATGACTATGATCTATTCTGACAAAGCAGAAGCAAAGATGTACACATACATGCATATTTTTCATTTTATTTCAATGTGATGGAGTTCTTTTATATCACTGATCCGTTGAAATATTTGGGTTGAATCATTTATTTATTTAAACAATTTGGTGATGTTGCTACCTGGGAGATAAAATTTAAGTTAACAATGAACTTACTATCTGTTTTTTTATTTACTCTTAAAAACTGTAGTATAAATGATCCTAGGCTACTGTGTTTGATGTTCATTTTTTATTTTCCTTAAGGCTTCAACAAAAGCAACACTTGGTTATTTGTTCAGCTTCACTGTATCTGAAATCATTTCAGAGATAACTTTTGACAAAATATTATAAATCGTTTCTGAAGATTCCTTATTTTAAAACATGAATTGTTTATTTGCTGCTCCAGGAAAATTGAGAAGTGCTTAGAGTATAAGAAACACGCTGGTGAGGTTCGTCTCAAGTAATCTGTTATTTAGTAGTTTTTATTATCCTGTTCTTGAAATACAACTAATAGCTGTAAAGCATGATGATCACTTTTGTTGTAAAAGATGCCATGGAAGCATCATTTATAAGGATAAAGGTTGGGTTAATCATTTATAACCTTATTAGATACTTTGATGTAATGATGCTCTTGTTTTTTGAGGTTATAGACCCCATGATTTCTTACAACAATGTTGTATTTTCTATGGGATGCAACATGGATATGATAACACTCACTGTATCACAATAAGAAGTTATTGACTTAAAAAAGAAGTCAAAGTATAAAATCAACCCCTTTTTGTATGTGCTACATTTTATGAGGTTTTCTTGTTCCCCAGGAGTTGACTTTGGATTAAATGATGGTGGGGTAGAGAGTAGAGAAAGGGAGGTTTAAAGATGCCGAGGCCAGGGCCGAGGCCTTATGAGTGTGTGAGGCGTGCTTGGCACAGCGACAGGCACCAAACTATTCGAGGCTCCATCATTCAAGAGATCTTTAGGTCCAATTCTTTTCTCTGACTCTGTTATGTATGTTTTTTGTATTGTTGATATGTTTGCATATATCAGTACTTTTGTGTCTATTTATTTGTCATGGCCACCTTCTGATGAACTACAGCAGATGTAGATGTTTGTCGATGGCCATGCTTATTACCATGATCATTATCATCATCATCATTGTACTTGTTATTACTATCATTAGTGCTTGTACTACTTTCCTTTCAGAGTGGCCAATGATGTTCACAGCCCTGCGACCAGGAAGAACAAAGAGTTTCAGGAGAAGCTCCCGTTCGTCGTTCTCAAGGCCGAGGAGATCATGTACTCCAAAGCCAACTCCGAGGTCTGTACTCTCCAATCTGCAACCATCTGCTACCTACATTTTTAATAAAGGCAAAAAAGGAAGGTATTGCTCCATTCATTTTAGGAGAACTGAAATGTTACAGATAAGGATCTACCTCTTATTTGTCTTCATACTCGTCCCTCCATCCTCTTTATACTCATATATCACTGATTATGATTTTACCATGAAATTATAATCGCTCATTCATGAAATTGCACTTCAAAGTAAAATCAGAAAACACTTCTTTTTCAATGAAAAATAATAATAAGGCTCGATCAGAAGACATTTAAATATCAGTGAATAAATCTACAAGGCCATAAATAATCCTAATTAGATATTATAATATTTGCTGGTGTCTTTTTGGTTGGTTGCGGATTTCAGGCGGAGTATGTGGACTCCAAAACACTACAGGACCGAGTTAATGATGCAATTGACACCATCATTCGTAAGGAAGACGCCCTTGAGAGTGGAGACCTCTTGCAGCCCTGTATTGAAGGTACCATTTCTCAACCCATATTGATTGCTTATGTATCCATTATCTCTTTGTTAATTGTTGGTCCTAAATAGACTATCATTATTCTTTTTGGTGCTGGGCTGTACACAACACATTGTCTGTCATTCATGAGAACATACCTGATATCGAAATCTGTGGACACAGCATGGTGGGACACTTGTGCACGTGCACACACATGAGAACACAACAGAATGCTTTATTTTGTTATTCCAATTTGTGCAGATTATGATAATAATGTATTTTCCTGGTTTTTGTGTTCCTCGCCTCAGCGGCTCTGAATCTTGGTTGTGTTCCCAGAAGAGTTTCAAAGAGCCAGCATCGCAGCAACCCAGGGTGCTATCTCAGCCCCATAGCACATGATGTTAGAGCTGCCTCTGTGAAAATCTCAGATAGTAATAGGCCCAACCTAGATTATATGTTGGGGATAACTCCTAGCCTTAGCAACCCACAAAACTCTGCTTCACAGTTTCCATCCTGGTACACTGCCTTGTTTAAACCCACACACATGACTTGTAGCAGCTTCCCAGAGATCAAGTTCAACAACTCTGATGTACCTCGTGGGCATGCAAATTCCTCTATTTTCAACAGGAGTGGGTGTCCCATCGCCACCAAGCCTCCTGCATCTTATCAAGAAAGGGTGTCTGGTCCGTTAGCAAACTGTACCACTCCGAACCTGGCTGGAGTATATCCTTTATACTATAGTGACAATCAAGCCGCAGTTGTTTCGTGTCCTTTCCAAATTACTCGGGGCCCAAGACATCATTTAGCAACTGGCACTGCTCATTGTGCTGAGTCCCTTGGTGAGGCTGAGATCCATTTTGCAGCGAGCCCTATTGGCAACAGAAACACCATTGGTGCCTCAAGAGGTGATTCAAGCCACATGGAAACATCCAAAATCGGATGGGACTTGTCGCTCCGATTGGGACTGCCTTCACCTCCATCCTTTGAAGAAAGTACTTGGACAAATGATCATGAAGACGCTGGATCAAGTAACTTGAGTGGTGCAAGCAAGTACTACGGCCTTCCTGTTGCAAGAGAAAGTGCTATAAACCTCAGACATTTGATGTTTCCTTAGCTCTTAATCTCCTCATGAATTCTTTGCATATGGTTGTCAGAAGGGCAAAAGCACATTTCATGTTGATGGTTACATTAAAAATGCACAGGGCACTGAAAAGCGATCATTTCGGTCTTATCTACGTACTGACAGATGCACAAGGTTTCTTTCTACCAAGCAGCTGCTATTCATCATACCGGAGGCACCTAACCTTTAAAAGCAGAATTCTGCATGCGATATTGGACTATCAATCATCAGAATTTGCAGCAAATGTGTCAAAAGGAATCCTTTAGAGCATCTGTCATATTGTATTATCTGAAAAGACCATGTGGTGCAGCCTATATTAGTAGTGTTCTGAACACTCTGTTAGACTATATGGAAGGATGTATTGTGTTTTGCACTCCAACATACTGGCATGTGTATTTTGTTGCCTCGTTGGCATTAAAATGATGGTCAGCTGGTTGTGCTCTTTCCACAATGATGCGTGTGGCGCAAAAGCTTTGTATTAGATTTGAATGCGATCAATTCGTCCTGGGTATCTACTTCAACGATTCTTTTGATTTCCTCTTCCCTTGTTTATGATTTGGTGTGTAATGTTCAAATTTTAATTATATTCTGTCAGCCTGTTACTCTTAGGTCACCTGTTGGTGTTACTCTTAGGTCGCCTGTGAACATACATCCCTATAATCCACAAGAAGCAGCAGCAGATTCAACCCAACTTAGTGCCCTTTGCTTTCCGATGACCATCTTCTCCATCGTCTCCTTCACCTCGTCAACCTTTCTCCACGCGCCGTTCTCTCCATAGATTCTCAGCAACATCGAGTAGATGGCTGGGTGGTGCTCCTCCAACCTGTGAATCGACTCGGCCGCAGCCATCCCGTGCTCCAAGCTCGATTGCAATCCGCATGCACCAAGCAATGCACCCCACACCCACACAACAGCGTCTGGCTCGAACGGCATTCTTCCGAAAAGCTTCTCTGCACGCCCGAGTAGGTCCACCATGCACCCGTAATGCTCCATCCTTCCTTCACCAACCCACCGTGCACGCAAGCCATCAAGGTGCCGACGAAGAGATGTGATCGGGGGTCGAACACCTTCCCGGATCATCCTCTCGAATTCCTCCAGTTGCGGACTTGGGATGACTCGAAGGATCGGGTGGCAGAACCCACGTCGCCACATTTGCCATACATCTCGACGAGGGAGCTGCACAAGATCACATCCCATGGCACCCTGCATCTCAGGATTTGCCCATGGACAGATTTGCCGAACAGGAGGGAGCATCAGCCGGCACAGGCAGCAAGCACGGCAGAGTCTGTGAACTGGTTGGGGAGGATACCACTGAGCCGGTGCATCTCGACGAACAAGTTTAGAGCATCGACGTGCCGCCCGTGCCCCTGGTACCCACCCTTTGATCATTGATGTCGAGGTGACGACGTTCCTAAAAGACATCTGAGCGAAGCATCGCCGTGCCTCGTCGAGATGACCATTGTCGATGAAACCATTGATCATCGCGGTCCAACTGACGACGTTCTTCGCCGGCATTTTCCCGAAGGCGCACTCGGCTTCCTTGAGGCGTCCGAGCTGCATGTATCCTACGATCAGCGAAGTCCATGACACCGAATTCTTGATCGGAATGTCATCAAATGCCCGGCGGCGCATAGCGATGGGGTCCTTTCGACCTGCGTAGGCACCAATCAGCGCTGTCCCGACGATGGAGTTACAGCTGAACCCGGTGCAACCGCGTGGAGCTGAGGCACCAGACTGCCCGTTGGGGATGCCGTGATTATGGTGGTGAGAGTCGACCCTGTGGGTCTAAAGCCCAGTTCGGAACATCCGTACGAAATGCTGGAACGCCATGACCGAATCCCCGGAGCGTTTGAAGGAAGAGAGGATGGTGTTCCACGAGACAGCGTCTCTGCAGGGCATCTCATCGTACGGTTTGTGCGCGCGTTGGGCATGTCCGTTTCTGATGTAGCCAGACAGCATCAGGTTCCATGAGAGGAGGTCTCTGAGGTGGATATTGCTGTGGAACACTTGCGCTGCATCGATCAATCGGCCGTCATCGAGATGTTTGATTATGGTGGAGTTCAGTTGTGAAGGGGAGAGGAGGCGAGCATCGGACATGGGTGAGTGGGATATGAGAAGCAAGTACTTTGCTTATCGAAGCACACAGCACCAGGAAGCATACAAACAGAGATAAAACAGACAACCAGCAGCAGAAGATAAGCCTTCGAACCTACACGCTCGAGAAGAAAGACAACCAGCAGAAGATAAAGCCTTTGAACCTACATACCGGAGAACAAAGACTTTTTATTTTTATTTTTCCTTTCCTTTTATATTATTCTTCTTTTTTTTTGTTAAAAGAAGATATGAGAGAATATTTTATACCAATTAAATGCTAATGTCATATTCAGAGCAGAATAGTACCGTATGCATCAGTATTAGCGTGGGCATCATCCTCGTCTTCTTTTTCTTTTGCGTCATCTTTCATTACTATTCTGTATTCTCTTCTTAGCTCTGCATCTACGTTGATCGATAAAAGATAAGACATTTGTGTTGGCACCACACCGATTTACATCTACGTCAATGAGATGCAAGACCTTTGTCTCATCTTCGACTGATATATATGTCTCATTGAAACATTGAAATTATCTTTTTGTCCATCATTTTGGTATCATTCCTATACATACTATCATATGTTATATCTTTTATCGATAAAGTCAACGACGTTAGAATAAATAGATTAAATATTTTTATAATTATAAGTATTCTAATATAAATTTTTGAAGTTTGAAACCGAAATACTGATCTAACAAGGATAATACATAATTAGCCCGATGCGCCATCAAAGCCGAACTCATATCTATTGTACCTACGATCTTATCATTAACCTCCAACATAGAGACAAATAAGTCAGCCTGATAGATAATGAACACCAAAATAGCTTAATCTCTTCCTTACTATTGTAGGCTCATTCCATCACCACAAGTTCATCAAATAAAAACAGTCTGATTTATATCAAAATAAAAATATATATTCTGCTACCATATACATACAAATGATCTATGACTATGAACTCACATGTATGTATGATGACTAAAACCAAAGATGAAAAGATTATAAATATATATATATATATATAGTGATATTATATATAATTCATTTTTTTCATATGAATAAAATATAATATAGGGAATCTAACTCTTTTAATCAAGAATTAGTCAATATAATTCTTGATTAGTTTAATTTTTTATTATTTTTTACTCATTTAGATTTATTTTTTATCTACTTAGCTTTGATGTCATGTTAGAAATCTTATAATGACGAGTTCGAGTCAAATTGGTCAAACATCAATTCAACAAAAAAAAACCTAAACTATTGAGACATGAGCCAAACGCAATATATGTAGCTTTGCTCTGTCAATCTGTCAATATATGTAGCTTTGCTCTGTCAATCTTTCGATGATTTGACGTTTCTATATTGTTCTAGTAATAACTTTCTCCAAAAATCTTGGATTTAGAAAAAATCAGATTTATCCAAAAATAGACTCAAGCTCTTTCTTTTTTATATCATGATTAATAAATTTGGAGTCTATTTGCCTATCTAAACTGTTATTTCAACTGACCCTATGAAATCTATAAAATAGAGATAGTTAGTTTTGATCTTTTAGTACTCTCTTGCTTATAACTATCTATTGGGAACTCTGATTTATGGAAAGTTTAATTTATCAAAATCTAGACTCATAGATCTTTCTATTCATTAATTTGAATGATTTAGAGTATAAATGAATATTGAATCATTTTTTCAAATCAACTATATGAATTCTGCAAAATGGAGATAATGTTCTCTGACCTTTATTACTAAACTGTTGATAACTCAATGTTGGAATGTCCAATTCATACAAACTTGATTTATCTAAATTTAGATTGATACATCTTTCGAATGACCTTATTTTATATAAATTAGAATATAATTGATTATCCAAACAATTCATTCAATGTGCCTCTCAAATTCTGTTAGAATCAAGCTTTGATCGATTTCACCTATTCTTGTTTCGTCTATTTGGAAATTGATTTCAGCTAAAATCCTTACTTTAGTTAAACTTTATATTATTGTTTTGAAATCCTGTATACTTTTATCCTTTAATTATTTGTATATATGAATCTATTATGTAAAGTTCATATTTGTATCGCAATATTACATGTAGGCACATGCATTTCGTTGTTCTGCATGCGTTTCCGATATGTCCTAATTTATTGTTCACAATATCCTTTTGTACTCTGGTGTTTGTGGGATTATTTGGACCTTTGCTAGAAATAGTAAAGGGATTGTTTGTACCTTTGTGAGAAATGGTAAAGGGATTATCTGGACGTTTACTAGAAATGGTAAAGGGTATATGCTTAGAGCCCGCGAAGTTTTGCCGGCCTCCTCTGGTTTCATCGAAACATGGATGGATGACGCTCCTAGACATAAGAGATTATGTTTAGGATCTCACATCACCCTCTATCTGTTTGATATGATATCCAAAGCTTTGGTTATGTGCTTTGGATAAGAATAAAATGTGTGCAACGTCAAATATGATGTTTGAGCTTTTATATCATATTTGCCTTTTGATATGCTCCAAAATGCTTCATATGCCATTGATATGTTCTGAAGTATTTCATTCGTCATTGATATGCTCTGAAATGTTTCATTTGTTATTGATATGCTTCGAAACATTTCATGCGTCCTTGATATATTATGAAATGCTTCATATGTCATTGATATGCTTCGTAACATTTCATATACCATTGATATGCTCTGAAATGATTTCTATGCCATTGATATACTCTGAAATGCTTCCTATGCTATTGATATATTCTGAAGCATTTCATCCGCCGTTGATATGTTCCGAAATGTTTCATCCGCCATTGATATGCTCCAAAATGCTTCATATGCTATTAATATGCTTAATAACATTTCATATGTCCTTGATATACTCCAAAATGCTTCATATGTCATTGATATGTTCAGAAGCATTTCATCCGCTATTGATATGTTCCGAAATGTTTCATCCACCATTGATATGCTCCGAAATGCTTAATATGACATTGATATGTTCCAAAGCATTTCATCCATCATTGATATGTTCCGAAATGTTTCATTTGTTATTGATATGCTCTGAAATATTTTATACGTCCTTGATATGTTCCGAAATACTTCATATGCCATTGATAAGTTCTGAAGCATTTGCCATTGATATGTTCCGAAATGTTTCATTACGTCAATGATTTGCTCCAACTAATCTTTACTCCCATGTTATGAACAAAACATACTTTGAATGAAATAATATTATAATTCTGCATTCGTTGGGTGGCTATCTTTGAACTATTGTATCCCTGCCTTGTATTTAGTACTTTATTTACTTTGAAACTGTCTTTTTTCACCATTGATATGTTAGTCGCTTGCTGAGCTCTATGTGCTCACTCCATTGCTACATAAATTTTTCAGGATAGCTTGTCGCTTGCTAGAATGTTTAAATTGAGCTATGATAATGGAAAGCTAGAAGACTTTGGGCAAACCTTTAGTGGATGATATGTTTTTGTTGTATAAGTACACTTGGTGTCTAATGAAATGTTGATAGTAAATATGAACTGATGAGTTTTGTAAAAGTTTAAAGAACCTCTCATGTTAAGGATTTTGAAGTGTTAAGTAAATTTGTGTAATAATATGAACACATGGTAAATATCAGCTTTGTGATTATATAGAATCCCACACTTGTGGATTTATGAGGTGGTTCTTGTCTTGGTGAGTTGGCTTTAGATTTTACGAATCATCGAGTAACGCGGTATATGATTTTAAACTGCATAGGTTTTATGAATTGGGGAATTATAGATATGAATGACTTGAATGTTTTCTCATATCCTCAAATGTGTGATTAGATCCTAGAATGTATTATTGAGTTATAATATTATGGATTATTGTCGGTGGGCGTGACACCCCCACCCCCCCCCTCTCTCAATGCCGACTTGATCCTAAGAACTCAGACAATGGGGAATGATTCTTATACTTGGGAAGCCGAGGGGTTATGACTAATAGGCGGTTGATCCGTATGTCCTTCTATGACCTATTTATACCTATTTATATGAGCGACCGGTCCATATATCCTTCTTTTATGACATATTTATGTAGGCATCTGGTTTGTATGACCCCCTGTGATGCGCTATCAATAGAGGGTAACAGAGAGGGGCATCGCCTATCAGCCCTGATGGCTGACAGGGTCGAGCCGATCAGCTCCCTTATGGGTGACCAAAGGGAGAAGTAGGTCACCTCGGTTACCCGGGGACCATTTCTCCTAGCGGCCAAGTCATACCACTTGCCGACAAGTTGTCCAGTATATCATTGGTTCATCGACGTCTCGTCTGATTCTTTGGCGCATCGTCCTCTCTTGCAGCCTATTGTCCAATCGGTCAGTTGACCTCCGCAACTCCGATTTCCTTGGCACAATTTTCGCTCTTCTTGGCCCGATGCCCAAACTCATGACCCGAAGCCTTTTGCCGATACGTCAACTGGTCCTCCGGCTCGATGTCCAATCTTTTGACATGTTCCACTCCGGCCCAATATGATTTTTCCTACTTTTAATTATCTCTCCTGATCGAAGCTTCCTGCATCACTCAAAATGTAGATCATATAAACACTAAATTCAACAATCTCTCCCTTTTTTATAATGACAACCAATTGATGACAGAGTTAACCTTAACTCCCCCTATCAATATGTCATATTGATAGAACCTTGAATTCAATTTGAATTCAAGTCAAAGCAAACTTAATCATGAATATATACAATACATTGTATGCATATCATTGTATTACATGCATCATTATCATAAGTTTTGCATGCATCATCATAAATATTTCAAATCATCATGGTATCAAAATATAAAAGTATATTATCCTACGCATGGTACATCATCATATCTTCTACCCCTTTGTCATCAACAAAAAAAAGAAGTGCAACTAGAAAGTTATTGATATATAATTTTAAATTATTATATTATAAATAGAATCTCCAGTTTTATCATCATGTAAGCTAGTAATTTTCTTTCTTCTCTTTTGAGAAGTGTAATTTTTGCTTCCTTTGCAAG